AATGCCATGCAGCGATGAATTCAAATGATGACAACACAGAACATAAGAATGTCAATAGAATATAAAAATATCCATCAAATATATACCCCGTACACATATAAATCTATGTTCTTTAATCTCTAATTCAAACAATTTGTAAACTACAAACTCTATAGCTACTTCTGTTAAATACAATCGTACAAACATAATCAACACAAAATTGATTTACCCGCACTGGGAGAGGCCATCTTCACATTCTCGCATGATCTCGCGTAACAAATCGAGATTGTGGGCGATTGTGGAATCATCATGGCTACCGTTCTCACTCGCGCTGTTCTTGGAAAGCCGCAGGTATTTCGTAAATATTTTAGTTCCATTACTTTTACAACTTTGTTTTATTATTTGCAAAACGTCGTATATTGTTGCTTTTAAATGCATTATTAAACTGTCATGGCTGCAAGAGCATGCTTTCTTATTGTAATTTTAATTTTAACAGCAGGCAACATGTTATCAACTCCAGGCACGCTGGTAGTGGTAACGTTCATGTTTGGAGTTTATGACATTGAATGTAATTAATGCCGCTTGTGCTGTGTCAAAAAATACAGTATAGATGTGACATAAAATTGTAAGCCCTTTCTCTTTTTTAGGTTTTTGGTTCGCTCAGTGGCGTCCGTTTCTATGCTGCATCCGTTGTAAGTAAAGTCATACGTAAAAGTAGTACTAGTACTAGTTAGTAGTACTAGTAGTAGTAGGCTATGGCTGTTTTAATATTGACGTCTGAGACACCAGGGGGAAAATTAAGTTTTTTTTTTTAAAGCCTAGGACACACTAGCGATTCTGTACGCTGCCCGGCAAGCCGCTATATGCCTCGCTCACGATTTTAGAACGCCGTTTAACCAGTTGCGCGTACAGCTGAACACACTGTACGGCTGTCCAATAGAGACCAATAATGTAACCCAAACCCAAGAGGGATAGGGTTACAAACGTGTCCCTATCCTTTTCTGCGGCCAGGAATGGCCCCGAGTGAATCACCTCGGGCGGTGTTGCTGGTGCCGTTTTCAGATACTAGAACTTCCAAACTGAGGGTTTATTCTTCAACACGAACCTTTCTCCGCCTTATCTGGGAACTACTATGTATCGCAATCACGCTGTATTAAACTAATCATAACCCTGTTACAAAAATTTCGAAGTGACGAGCCGCGCGAATATACTGAGCGCCATTTTCTGTTGACCTTCCTGACGCTTACGCCATTTCCCAATTCGCATACGCGCATCGGCAGAACGCAGCCGCCCTCCGAATTGCGTCGGCTGAATCCATGCACTCTTCAAACCGAAGTACGGTCACAAGTCAACAGACAATCGCGCGCTCAGTATATTCGCCGCTCGGTCCACTTCGAATTTTTTGCAACAGGTCTATATTAGTTTAATACAGAGTATTGCCGATACATAGTAAGTTCCCAGATAGCGGAGAAAGCGTTCTGTTGAGAATAAACCCAGTTGGAAGTTCTAGTAGGTCTGAAAAAACGCACCAGCAAAGCCGGCCCGAAAGTGATTCACTCGGGCATTCCTCGCCAGAAAGGCGATAGGGCACCACTTTGCTAACCTATCCTCTTGCCGGTTTGGGTTACATTATTTATCTACGTGCTCCAACTACTCGTAACGGCTTTCCTAGCTTTCGTTGCTACACTTGATTGGCTGCCCTAAAAAGCAAGCGCCGTATCGAACACGATGATTCATTGTTGGGCCGGCCTGGTGCAAGCGCATGCGCCATGCTACGGCAAGCGAGCGATGAAAAACCGGCGGAAATATTCAACATGTTGAATGCGAGCGATCAGCCGGGCGTATGGGATCGCGTGCGAAATACGCTGCCGTGAGACCGGACACACCACGCGGACCCGGCACCGTATTTATCGATCGCAAGCGGCCAGCGTAGAAAATCGCACAGTGTGTCCTAGGCTTTAAGTCTCTACATTGCCAAACTTTATTAATTTGCATACCTAGATGAGATTGGTGATTTGGTAAAGATGAGATTTACCTGCATGTGTCACTCAGGCTCAAGGGGTCGTTGTCGTATCAGGTACTACAGATATGTACCCGAAGTACATATATGTATACACAAAGTGTACCAGACTTGTGCTACAGAACTGTACCCTAACCCTAACCCTAAACATACCTTATATAAAAATATAAACATAATACTAAACAACCTAAAACTACGTCGGATACATATATGTAGTACCTGATACGACAACGACCCCATCTGCGTCACTCAGTGGAGTGTTGATCTTGAAATCAGAAACAAGTGTATCCCATAACTTTTAGCATATTAAATTACATATTGCATATCAACGTTATAAATTTGCTATATTAAAAATGGTTTAACACAATCGCTGTACTGTATTTAACTAATAACAATATAGGTAACAACTGAACCTTGAACATGAAAATGAATAACAACAGATGATAATACTTATAATGGCATAGCTCACTTTTTAAAGTTATCAATTTACCTGTCTTCCTGGAGTGATTCACAGGTAGCTCTGACCAATGAACATTGCAACATGAGCATTCTAAAAACTGTTGCTTGTAGTAATGAAATAGCAAAAGGTCAAGAGTTTGTTGTGCATGCTTGAAAAGCACTCATAAATAGGTTTAACTTACTGATAGAATATATTGCTATCTAAAGGCGTATTTACACGCACCGTGTAAACTATGCGGTACGACATGATTTTATGACCCTTGCGATATTGGATGCACAGGACGGATGTTCTAATTTCTTTTGACATTGCGTTTGCATTGTCATACACGGTGCGTTTTGGACGTACGTTCTAGACGTACGTCTAGGACGCATCGTGTAAATAGGCCTTAACGCCGTGCACTAGAATAACTGACACATTGTGTAGTTTATTTATAAGTACGTAATCATATGTTCCTAATTCATGTAAGCACTTCCAATTTCATTGCTGGTTATTAGTAAAAGCTCAATTAAAAATCATGTGCATTCATCTGCTGCTGTTAATAATTTAAAGCATAACCACTATAGTGTTGTGTAAAACAGATTTCTGAACTGCATTTTTGCGAGTTTGCTAGGTCGTACACTTGATGGTCTGGTCACTCATATTATAACATACAGTACACACATACATTTGGTAAACTCTTACTATATTTTTGCAATTGAACAAACTGTGTGTAGACTGGGACCGAATATTTAGTTGCATGAGCTATTGATATAAAACATTAAGAAATCTATTCTGTTAGGTAAGGTATGGTGAAATGGTACAAACTAATAAATACTAATATGAATTTGGCGGTGATGTTATGCACAGTTCTAAATCACTCAAGGCGTGAGCTATTATTTTGTTATCCAACAGTGCAGATTAGATAGCCATATTCTATTTATAATGGTCCTAGCAATCTTATACAAGCAGAACATTGGTTATCGTGCCTGGACCTTGGATCTATATTAACCTATACTGCAAGTACTATTGAAAAGGTGTAATAAAAATAATTACCTTGCAACTAGATTTTTAATAATAAAACAAAATTTCACAATAGATAATACATACACACATCACTCATTATCATTTCTTCAGTTAACCACTAGAAAGGCAATAAGAGCAACATATATATATACACATAAAGAGCAAATTACCATATAGGCACATTTCATATGTTTTAAGAAAAAGTTTGCTAACAAATTACAAAAGATGCACAAGGGTGCAGCAAAAAGAATGAAATCAAATTTTGATGAAAAATACAGAGTAAACAATCACACTTCATCTTTATGCAACATTTGATTCGATATCATGTATGTTTCTTTTATGTTATGCATGCACCTGTGTAATTTATGTGGTATAATATCTATTTCAGCCTACTACAAAACTTTTCATCAATGGAAAATTTATTGAATCCAAAGCAACAAAATGGATTGATCTTCATAACCCTGTGAGTAGCTTGTATTTACGATTTGATTTAATCTAACGCAGTGAAATGCGTGTGCATTTGTGTCTGTGATTATTTCTAATGTGTACGTACGTGTCTTTGTGTTGTGTGTTGCCAGTCATTGGTTATCTCACAGGAGATATATGATAGCTAGCCTACAGATGTGCATGCCATTTCAATATGTATATATTTTCACACGGTGTTAACCTACTCTGAGTATCTCTGTCTTACACAGAGCATAACTCTATATACATATATGCGGTTGAACATCTCCGAACTGATAGAATTTACCCATGTATAGGGGCGGCTTATGACGTGCGTAATTTAGCGGTTGGGGGTGAATTGCCTGATGGTCCAGCGTGCCTTGTGAAATTCCCTGGGAAAACCTCTGTAATGGATTAAATGGAGACGTAATCGGTTTTGGAAAGCAAACTAAGATATGATTGTAGGGTGTCGGCGAAAACATAGTTTCGTATGCAGAATGGGAATTGTGATGGCTCGGGGGGGGGGGGGGATAAACTGGGACGAAGGGTCGACAGGGGACCAGCGCTGGCTTTCTCGTTGATCGAGAAGTAGGAGCCGCTACATGGGGGGAGAGGGAGGAAGGAGTAGAGCAAGCCCTATAGGAAAAGGAACAACGGGCAGACAGGAGTCTCTCAGTTTCTTGCTGCTGCTCGGCGTGTAGAGACATATTAAACCACGTCTCCCTCTCGACCGTCTGTCCGATCTTCCCGCACAACACGGCCGTACGTGACCAGCTATCGTGTCCTCGCCGCTTCCGCGGTTAGAAGTGAACTGTTTCGCCAAGCTGCGAGTGGTTACCGCTGATGTTGAGGGGAAACCGCCGAGGCCAGGCAGCATATTAACCCACCCAGGCAGAATCTTTGCTGCTTTTACTGTGGTTTATTGCGAATATATCTTGGCAGCAGGTATTTGTTGCTGACGTTGAGAGCAGCCAGCAAACTGACCCTTGTAGGCAGCAAAACTGCTGCCTGCTGCCCGTAATGTCGAACCCCAGTAGTTGTGTAGATATATCATATGCTAACAGTAACACAAGCAGCCGAGCCACGTGCACATGGGCTGTTCCAATAATATCATTATAATTTATATATACAAATTATATTTACGGCCAAAGTTTAATATACGGGGGTGGCGAAACCACCGCTAGCTGCTGCTCGATTTAAAAAAAAGTGCCACTTTCGGGGTTAGAAATGAACTCACTGTTTTGCCAGGGCCGCGAGTGGTTACAGGTGACGTTGAGAGCAGGCACGCACGCCGACCTCTCGGGGGGCCTGCCGCTCGCTCGACTTCGATAATGAAATACGCGCTTCCTTTCAGGGTATTAGCCAGGAATGAGTATTGTGGAAGTACAGAAAAAATATTTGGGAGTGCAATTTTACAAATGTGAGATCAATATTTTAGGCCGTGCTACACATTTTTGGCCGTGCAGTTTCAAAACTGACCGTGCGAATCACGGCTGCACGGCTCGCTGGCTAATACGTTGCTTCCTTTCGCGCTCGCAGGCGACGAACGAGGTGGTGACGCGCGTGCCGGAGTCGACGCGAGACGAGATGCTGGCGGCGGTCGGTGCGGCGAAGCAGGCGTTCGGCGAGTGGTCGCGCACGACGATCCTCACGCGGCAGGCGTGCATGTTCCGCCTGCAGCACCTCGTCAAGCAGGAGCAGCGGCACATCGCCGAGAACATCACGCTCGAGCAGGGCAAGACGATTCCGGACGCCGAGGGCGACGTGCTGCGCGGACTGCGTGAGTGTAGCCGTGGGGACGGGGGGGGGGGGTTGTTGTTGTCGACACAGGTTAGTGACGAACGTAGACGTCCCTTATAATATAGTCGGGTTTATTTCCATGCATAAGTTACGGCATTGCATACGATATACGTTCACAACACTGTCGCTACCTAGTTGCGCCACGTAGTGCTAATCGTGCACGGGTAGTGATGAACGAAGACGTTGACTTAGTGAGATTTATTTTCTTGTATAAGTTACTACATTGCATACGATGTATGTTCACAACACTACATAGTTACTCCGCATAGCGCTAGACGTAGCGTCGAAAATATTGCTCGCGTTGGGATGGCGAAAAGTTCCCGTCTGGGTAGTCTTTGCGTGGGGCTCAACATTCGTAAGGAACTTTGGGGATTAAAATAGTGCGCTTGTTTGTTTATTGACAAAAAACACTTGAGAAGGAACTGGGATATTTCCAAGCAAAAAAAATTGTTCTTGTAATTTTAAACGCGTTTTTAAATCGGTGTCTTTTTTTGTGCGAACCGTTTTTTTTCGGGGATCATGCCTACCCTGGTCGTCGTGGCAACCGTGGTCGTCGTGGTTACAGAGGTTGTCGAGCACTCGTGCAGCATCACGTCTATGCAGCTCGGTGAGACGATGCCGTCTGTTGCCAAGGACATGGACATCCACTCGTACCGCGTGCCGCTCGGAGTCTGCGCCGGAATCACGCCCTTCAACTTCCCCGCGATGATTCCGCTGTGGGTGAGTGAGATCCGCGAGACGCCACAAGGCATGTGAGACACCGCGAGAGGCCGCGAGACGTCGCGAGGTGTGCGAGACGTTCGAGGCGTGCGAGATGCCGCGAGACGCACTGGACGCTGCGAGGCGCGCGAGATGCCGCAAGATGCGTGAGACACTGTGAGGCACGTTAGATGCTATGCCATAAGGCGCGTGAGACGCGTGAGACGCCATGCCATAAGGCGCGTGAGACGCCGCGAGACGCGTGAGACGCCATGCAATAAGGCGCGTGAGATGCCATGCAATAAGGCACGTGAGACGCCGCGAGGCGCGTGAGACGCCATGCAATAAAGCACGTGAGATGCTGCGAGGTGCGCGAGATGCCATGTAATAAGGCGCGTGAGACGCCGCGAGGCGAGGCATGCGAGACGCGTGAGATGCCGCGAGGCACACAAGTGTGTAATTGTAATATGTAGAATAAGTAAGCGTGTGTATAGGAGCGCTGTCGTTCATCAATCGCGTAACTGTGAGGTGAGCATGTGAGGCAGTCAATAAACGAAACAAAGAAGAAAACGTGATATTAAGAGGTTTACATTAGGTATAACATGGTTGCATTATTCTGTCTACGGGAGCACGGCAGAACCGTCGCCTCCCCCCAATCGCGGGCCGTACACACACTGAGCCTTCGCCTCGCCACTCTACCTGTTAACCTTGGCCCATCGAGAACCTGTTGACAACTAGGTCACGGACCTTTATTCACATACGTGCTCTACTCACGTACCGGGGGGCATTACTGAGGCACGTACTAGGGCACGCACGCACGCCCGTGCCGCGCATGGCGTGAGGTCAACATGTTATGATGACGCTGACGTGACGTCAACACGTTACGATTACGCGTGACGTGACGTCAACACGTTACGATGACGCTCGACGTGACGTCAACATGTTACGATGACGCGCAACGTGTCCACGCGTTACAATGACCTCAACGTGTCTCGTGTGTCGCAGATGTTTCCGATGGCGGTCGTCTGCGGCAACACAATGGTGCTGAAGCCATCCGAGCGCGACCCCGGCGCGACGATGATGCTCATGGAGCTCGCACAGGAGGCTGGGATCCCTGACGGAGTGCTCAACGTGATTCATGGCTCCGTGGATGGTGAGCACATGTGTGGGCAGGGGAGGGAGGGAGGGAGAGGAGGAGAGAGGAGAGAGGGAGGGAGGGAGAAGGAAAGAGGAGGGAGGAGGAGGGAGGCTGGAATACCCGATGGAGTGCTCAACGTGATTCACGGCTCCGTGGATGGTAAGCACGCATGTGGGCGGGGGAGGGAGGGAGGGAGAAGGAAAGAGGAGGGAGGGAAGGAGGGAGCACAGGAGGCTGGGATCCCTGACGGAGTGCTCAACGTGATTCATGGCTCCGTGGATGGTGAGCGTGCGTGCGGACAGAGGGATGGAGGAGGGAGAGAGAGGAGGAGAGAGGAGAGAGGAGAGAGGGAGGGAGGAGGAGGGAGGGAGCACAGGAGGCAGGAATCCCTGACGGAGTGCTGAACGTGATTCACTTCTCCGTGGATGGTGAGCACATGCAGGCAGGAGGGAGGCGGCCCAGATGCGACTGGGATTTGTCGCCGCGTGCACAGTGGTAGTAATACGTTTGCATTTTTACTCTTTTTTTTCTTTGGTGAACAGCTGTTAACTTCATCTGCGACAACCCCGACATCAAAGCTATATCCTTCGTCGGATCTGACCATGTCGTAAGTTTCTCAACGTCGAATACGATTCGGTGATTCCTGAGAGGAGTCAGGGCTAGTCGGTAATGAAAGCGATCTCTCATTTGTTCAGTAATAAGTAATATTAAGCTTTGTGAATTGTAACGAATCTTAATCGTTATAGCTTCATGTTGTGACGTGTGTTGTGCGCAGGGTCAGCACATCTACGAGCGCGGATCCCTGTAGCTTCATGTTGTGACGTGTGTTGTGCGCAGGGTCAGCACATCTACGAGCGCGG